ACTTTGGGTCATCGGGGTACACCTGTCGCGCGAGATGGCGAATTTGAGCGCGATCGCGCGGGTTCTTGAAGACGATGATGTAATTGGTATTAAGCGATATGTCGCGCTGACAGCGTCCCTGGTGAAATAAATTTTGCGTGATAAGTATAACGCTGAGATTCTTATGGTGGCTATTCTTTGTAAAAAGATCCACGATGACGTCGCACGGGGATGATTCTCTTATAAGATCGTCGATTATCACCAACTTTGGTGTGAGAGAATCGTGGGAATAATCACGCGCTTGTGGTAACCCCTCGCAAAACTCGATTGCATTTTTCTTTATTTTTTCCACAGCGTTCCTCTTTTCTTCTTTTTTCGCAAACGTGTATTGAAGTTGCCGATAAGCATCCTGTTATTCGGCGTAATAAAATAAAACTCTTTGGAAAGAAACATCGGCCATTTCGTGTAGATATTTGAGAAAAGTTTTTACAAAGACCGTTTTACCGCATCCGGTGGGACCGCTGACGATAGACGTCCAAGGATGTTTCCAGCGTACGTCCATCTTGCGAAATGAACCCTTCGCCGTTCGCTCGCGTCATAAACAAAAAAAATCAGCGAAACGAAAAAATCAGCGAAACACTATGACGCGATAAGCTTACCCGCTGACGGCGGCGGCGGCGGCGGCAACCGCTTGCTCGCGCTAGCGTACAACTCGTGAACTCGAACAAGCTGATTCGATCCGCGGAACGGCGACGCTGGACAAACGCAACCACCGAAATTGCTCGCGCTAGCGTCCAAGAGCAAGGAAACGCTGCTTCCCGCGATGAAACGCTTTTTTTCTCGGAAAAAACAAAAATGAGGGTTTTATATGAAATACGGGAAAGTATTAGGAGGAAGAATGGGAAAAATTTTTAAGAAAAATTATGCGAGAAAAAATTTATTTTTACAAATAAAAATACATGATTTGAGAAAAATAAAAATATTCGTTTTATTTCTTAAATTTTCCATAGTTTTTGCATAGTTTCTATACAATTATACATTTATTTGTACATTTAAAATGTAAACATTTATTTACATTTTAACAATAATTAATAATAATTATAATCTAACAATATTTTCTTAAATTAAATAAAAATTTTTTATTTACATTTTTTACAAAAAATTTATAAATCTACTTAACGCTATTTACACTAACAATAAGTCGGAAATCGGAAAACACACGCAAGCGACTAACCGCTGACAGCGAAAGAGCGAAAGAACAATTCCGTAAAAATTAGCGAATCGTGTAACCGTAAGGAACGGAACAACGACTATTGAGAAATCTACGCTTCAATAGCACAGGAGTACAAGCTTTCGCTTCGTCGCGAGTTATTAATAACTCGTGAAAAACCGTACGCCGAATTGCTCTGAAACGTAGATTTATCGATGTTCTATGTTGCTCTCCTTCTTCTTCTTCACTTT